CCGAAATGTGCATACAAGACCTTCATACGATTATGGTCCAAGGAAGCCCAGTGTATTCAGGTTTACTATCTCCGTGGCCAAATTGTGGACATTGCCTTGTGTACGAGAAGTAAAGACGTTCTGCTTGACCGGATTCATGTGAATATCTGACTGTGTACAAACAAAATGACCAAGCCTGTCAGAACCCGCGACCAAAAACCTCAAACCCGAAATCTGTTCGTGATCTCTGCAAGCTCATCAACGGCGTGTTACAGGAGGAATGCCAAGTCTCTTCTCAAGGGGAACTTTCGAGAGTGCTGCAGATAGTTAGACATCACCAATCTGGTCAACTATCTGAATGCTCATTTGGGATGAGTCGACCAGAACGACAGTAGGCATGGCGGAGAATTTAGAACGGACAACTGGGATCGTTTGCTACAGCAAGCGACTTAGCTTGCTATTTAGTTATCGAAGTAATGACTATCATAAATGTGTGCATCGTGTTAGCTGGTACCCTACAGACAGCAGCCTATGGAGCACTCAGATGTACCACATAGCAATCAGCTATGGATGGCGGTGTTGTGAACAAGAGTTTCGCTCCCTTAGGGACAAAGTCCAGTTTAAATCCTGCAGTATGCTTCACTGGGCAGAATTCTTCCAGGAACACTTTAGCTGGCCTGAGCTAATCAGCCCAACAATCAACTCCCTAAAAGCTTCACTCTAAGATGAAAAGTGCTTTATTCGAAAAGTAGATGAAGTCAAAAAGTAAATCATGCGTCTGAGGCACGGCAGCCGGTCCTGGCTGTCTCGTGTCTTGTTTAAGAATGGGGGACAGGGCTAATTAGCATTCTGATAAATCTCATGCCGAACATTTGGAATAATTAAAGATTGTAGAATACCATAATGTAATAATGCCAATAATAGGAAAGCGATAGAACACTAATTTAGATCAAAGTGTTGTGGTCACGGCAGATATCTGATTACATTCCTGTTGTCAAAGTGTCTAATATCTGAATTTTATAACCATCGGAGTATCATTTTGGTCACCATTTCTTCTAATGTGCTCACGAATACAAGCCTACGCAGGCACACTAGCGCTTATGAACAAGTGTCATGAAAACCAAAGTGGGTTCTATCTGGATAAAATATACATTGACCACGTGCTACCATGCAACTTTCTGAAAATCGCCACAGGTAAAGAAGACCAACAGTAGTTATATTCTTGGCCTACGGTTATCATTCGAATCGTTTGCTTCTGCTATTTGTGACGATGACTACGCCCTGAAGGTGTGCCAAACATTTCCATCTCACTTCTCCGATCTCCACTCTCCAATACCCCTGGGGGCGTGAGGGTCTACGGACAACATTCTTCTGAGTTCACCGCTAAATGTGATATCCGCCAAGACTGCCCCATTTCACCCCTCCCTTTCAACACCGTAATCAAATTAATTATCAAGGAAAGGTTCTCTGTCTTCTGCATCTAAGGTGGTGATACTTCGCGGGAAAGAACTTCATCAAGGACTTGGAGGATGCGGATGTTATTACACTGCTTGGTTCAGATCCCATCCGGATACAACAAAAATTAAACTCTTAATAATTTAGTCGTGTTTTGTTGCGCAAAGTGCTGATGCAGTACCAGGCGCGTTAATCACCAAAGCTGCTTAGGGCGTCAGAGCCAGCAGTGAGATAGAAGATATTGATTGACTGACATTGATAGTTTTGTCACCTCGGGTGGCAGAAGTGCAAATGAATGAACGATAGAATCAATAAAGCCTCAATTTAGGCACATCAGGGGTTGAATTAACATTAACCCGTCGGTAAAAGACAGAGTCAACAATTTGGTATTGTTTTGTGGTGATGGTGTTATCTGGCCGCTATGCACTGAAGACAAGATAGGATTACTTGCGTTTAACTGTTGGCGCCTTCTAAACATTGCACCTGTACACAAGAACATCACAAGAGCAATCCTAAGGTGTGACGAATGTTTTTAACCAACTGCCTGTTTCTTCAACAAGTTGACTTGACTGAAGGGATTACGATGGCTTGTCCGTTTATTTCGTATGCCAAGTGGTCGGCCGTCCGACTGTGCTCTGCCTATTTAATCAGGCATCAACTGGGTGATACCACAAAGTGAACAAGACATGACTTGGAGATGGAGAATGAGGAACTGACAGAGAGCCTTGGCTGCTCTGGGGAGTTGAAAATAAAAGAATAAATACATCAATAGATTGAGGTACTCCCTAACTTGGTAATGCAAAGAAACCACTGACGATGTTGGATCCATTTCCGTATTTTCCATCTCTGCCCCTGCTGTTCGTTTTGCTTTTTATTTTTGAAGTTTTGTCTGTACTTCATCTCTACTGCACAAAACACTACCATAAGCAATGGCGGCCCGAACCATCGCACAGATGTACATAGTTGTAAAACTGGACTGACTGATCTGAGGCTAGCTGCGTTTGTCATAACAGTGCCAGTAAGGAACTCAGAAACCAACTCCGTACTCTGTAGCACACTAAGTTCTGAGAAGTTGGGAGGACCTATTTCGACGCTTCTTATCAAGTATGAATTGATCGCTTTTCATGAACTTCAATAAACAATGAGAGACTTCAGCACTAGATGAGACAGACACGGAACGGTTGTGTGGACTGGGAAAGAATCGAATTATGGGCTTGATTGTTGTTTTGTCACGATTATTCTAGCCCTACCTATCACCAGTGGTGGTGTTGACTTTTTAATTTGTGCACTGCTGATCGAATCATATTTTGGTATCTAACTTACTCACTTCGTCAAGGCAGTTATTGAGAAGCGACTTTCTAAGGTTACAGTCAGTGTTCTCTGGTTCTATATCACTTTGGTCTGTCTACGTACAGATTATTCGAGTTACGTGGCATTGCTTGTTCTTTCTTACTAGTGTCTTTCGAACCCGGTATTGTACCTCGGATCCAGTGGTCATGAGTGCGCTGTCATTCTCCGCGCTCCAAAGAGTATTGAACACTTCATGTACTTCACTTAGCATCTATTGTTTTCACACCCAACTAGCTTACAAATTTAGAAGATGATCTAACTCGGGTGATAAAAGTCGGGATGACACGCCTCCTTTTTGGTTTCCCTGAACATTCCTACTTTCCCTTAGTTAGCCGTTTTATGCTCATGTTCGCTATCCCTAGAACTAAAGGATACCAGTGAAAGGAGGAAAACCATCCGTCCAGTAGAACAGAGTACCGGACAGAAAAGTAAAACTCTCATTTGCCCCTGTTTGAAAAAACAAACATCCGTCTTCTTCTCGGGCATGTCTTCCTGAACTTTCCCGGATATTCATTGACTATCACGCAATTGTACACAAATGCTGCAAAGCGGTTCCACAAATTCCGTAATAAATCCTACCTTCCATTAGATCAAAGCGGAGTTGCAAGGAAATCATATACTACTCACATTCCTAATCAGTAGTATCAATCGTTACCAAAATTTCCCTAATTAAAGGTCGCTAGCACGACCCCGATTTTCACTTAACTCCGTCAAGTCAGCCCCAGCAGTTGGTTTGGTTGACATCTCTTCGGATGCATCATGCCACTTCCGAAGCTGAGTCCCATTCACTCTTTTCGATTCCCGACCATTTCGGATTGTATAGACTTTACCCCCGGTGCTCGGTGACGAATAACAGACTTGCCATCGAGTGCCCAGCTTCCTCGACCCCAGTCAACTCCTTCCAGAACTCTGATGATCCTTCCACTTGAACTTCGCGCTTATGGGGAATGGTCGTGCCTTTCTACTTGCCGTTTCCTCTCTAATCATTTCCTAAACGGTGGTCAAGTTTTTTCGAGCTTTCTTCCTTTTCTTTCCTAGCTCCTCCGGGGACAAGCGTCTTGCCGGCCACAACCAAATTTCCTGATCAACCGGAGGGCGTGGATTTCCCGTTCGCCTTCCTTACAAGCACGACTGGGGAACTGTACGCATTATTGGCTTCTTCAATTATGCCATTCTTCAACGTCTCCTGAATATGTTTACGGACATCCCCCGTAGATGGAGCGGCAACGGACGGGGGCCGTAACATCGAAAGCGTTCTGACGACAGAGGAATTTCGTGTTCAGTCCTCGGGCAAAGGCCAAACGGTTACTCACCACCCGTGAACGGTTCAGAATATCCCTCGACCACGGACCATACTGACGGTACGTTACAAGACGAACGTTTTCGGACACAGCTCATTCACCGCAGCGCTTGGATAACCTTCAAGCTTGATTGCGCCATACTCTTCCATCAGCTTTCCCTGCTTTAGGTCAAGCACGGAATCTGTGACCTTGAGAAAATCCACCCATAATATTGTCTGTCCTACGTCTGGGCTGATCAGGAACGCGTGCTGCAAGAACTTGTTGCCTAGGCGTATCGAGTACGTTGAAATTCCGTCAATCTTCAGTTGATATCCACCAACAGCTCTCACGGCTAGCGCGCACGGTCTGCGTTCAGCTGGGTTCCCTCTCCGCCTCAGCGATATGCCTGCTCCTGTATCAATCAAACATGACTCCCTTTTTCCCGTCTACCTTGACAATGGCATGTATGGTAGCTTGTATCAATGCGCTAATCGCAACCCACCCAGGAAAAGAGGACTACTCTAAAGTTTTATTTTGTACAAGTGATCGTGTACGGGACAGTGATTCTTCCAGTGGCCAGGCTTGCCACACATGTAGCATCGGCTGGTTCGAGCGTGCCTCCGCGATTCCATCTTTAGGGCTGCAAGCTGTTCTGCGAGTTAGTCCACTCTTTTCCGCAGTTCACCCACTATTGAACCATCTTTTCTCCTGCGACTGGAACGTGGCCAGTGGTGCCTCGGCCAATTCCCGTGCAAGATGCACCAGCTCCTCCACACTCAAATGGCCAGTTGCTCGCGCCAACCGCAATTGGGCACCAAGCGCGGGCTGCATTCCTCCAATGAACTGCCCGACAGCAACTGGTGGCGCGATACTCCGTCCAGTCCCGGCAAAGCGCGATCCAACGACTGCTGCAGGCCAGTGAACAACACGGTCGGATCAGATCCAGGTGCCATCCTGGCCGTCTTGAACTGCCACATAGCCTCCTGGTGGTCCGCTGCACGGACTTCCTCGTCGGCGGCCCAGTCGATCTTCCGAGCGTTTCTTCTGGCCGCATCCAGGGCCGCCTCCGCCCACCCCCTCCCCGAGGAGAGTCTTCAGCACCGTCAACTTACGCCGGTCGGTTTCCAATCCAGCAGCCTCTGCAACCTCCTCAAAGTCCTTCAGAAATGTCCAACCATGTCTATCCTCAAATGATTGTGGCCACGGGGCCTTATCCTGGTCACAGCACCAAATGAAAAGAAGAAGGTCATCACTGCGGAGTTATTTACTAGAAAATGTCAATTGAACAGTTACAGACTATTGGACAGGGGAGTAAAACTCTCATATGCATCATGTGTTACAAAAACTGAATATCCATCTTCTGCCTGAATACGTCTTCCTGAACTTTCCTGGATATTCATTGACTGACACTCAATTGCAAGCAAATGCTACAGAGCAACCCCACAAATTCCGTAATAGATCTCACTCTTCAATAGACGCGAAGCGGATTTACGGCAAAACGTGTTACTCCCATGCCCCCATCAGTAGTATCCCAGTTACAATGAGAGTGAGCGTAGCATGCTTAACTAACTGCTTCCTTGTTTTTCAGTTTCACCTGCTTATTTGCTTTTACTGCTGTCCGCTGTCTATGCTTTTTGACGGTGTTTACGAACGATTAACTTTAAAATTAGTAGCAGAAATCGAAGGTCATCCTGTCTCCACAAGGACTCGTTTGTATTGAATTACCGTTATTTTCATATAGACTTAATACACCACTCATAAGGTTGTCAAAATGCCTTCGACAGCCAACTACCGGTTTTGCTCTTCTTGGGGCTCATCACTTAGGGATAATCCCCAAATTTCCGACAAACCCATGTTCTACTGTACCCCAAAATGAACTGATTTCAGCAACCACACTCAATTTGGTTTTGACGGGAGACACCTGAAACCCAGCTGAATCGCTCGTTTATGATGTTAGTTTTATAGATTTGGGGAAGGGGGTGATATTTCTGTCCTTAGGGGAATACTTTTAGAATAGTAATTTTCTGGTTGAATTATGACACCAGTTTTGTAGAACCTGCTTCCGGTAAAGAGAAAACATTTAAGCAGTGTTTGCTCTAGTAATTTATGACAAAAAACAAGGAGACAAACAAAAGAATTCGGCATCAGAATAGTCGATGTGCCGACGTTCATTGGTATTCGGCACGTGTGATTCGTGATCCACTGTCCGGTTGACTGTAGATCGCACAGTGGTTAACCACACCCAAAAACAAAAAAACCTGAAATTCGCGTAGCTGGCATTAAGAGAGCTGGTAATATAACTTTATTGATCGTCATCAAATAATTTGATGTGGCAGTAATACCGGTTGAATGATAGAAGCCCATGTTTTCGTAGAGTATATATGACCAGGTCAAAAAGACGTTACTGTACGGCGCAAAATGGTGTTTAGCATTAGAATAACAAGGAAAATCTAATTTGTAAAATAGGATAACCTATAATTTGGGCAAATTTTCTTGTAGATTCAGAAAACGGCTACCTGGCGGAGTGAAGACAGCCATATTAGGGATTTAAACAAAGATCATCGTCAGTTATTACATTATGAACGTCAGAATTTATGGACCGTAACAGAACGTTGGCCAAGATAAAAGCATTACTTATAGGAGTGTAAGGTCTTCGACTAAGATATCACACCACAATTGTGGTCCCTCTCGTCCAGAAAAGGTACAAAAATTACTTCAAATCCAGTATATTTTAAATGAGATTACCGAATAATAATTTACAACGTTCCGGTTTACGACTTCGGAAATTCTTTAAACGATCAAATGTTCTTGAGAAGAAATATATACTAGCTTCTAGCATATCCACTGTGTGGCAGAATTCACAAATTTTACGTCGCTGGAAGAATATAAAACCATTACTTTGAGTAACAGTCTGATATTGCACGTGGTTTCCTTCACATACCATCCACATTTCAGTCGACGGTTCACCTAAAGTAGGCATCAAGTCAGCAACCTTATCCATGGAATGTACAAAGTTCAGGTAGATCCTAGCCTCATGACCCCCCACTTATCCCCGGTCTGCCACGCACTGCCGAAACTTTTGTAAGCCGGTTGTCAATTTCGGCGAGAACCACCCGATGCACCAATAATTAGACACACTACCAACGTGCGAAACTTTTCTTTGAGTTCTCGGCATACTGCTTGAACTTTCCAATGAGGTGAGTGTTTTATACGAACTATGCTTGCGCTCTTTCATTCAGAGTGGTTTATTGGAATATAAAGCTGTGTCGAGGAGCCATATTAGTATAATGCCTGTAAGCAGCTAGTTGTAAATTAGAGCACTACACATGTTCATCCACTGTTCAAATGTTAGCCTTGTCAGATGCAATATTCCTTGAAAATGTAAGATCTAAGGAGGAATCCCTGGATCCAATCATATGCTTATGAAGTCTTACGTTCAGGCTATGACACCATTGGCATCATTTATTTACTGACAAAGGAGAGGTAGCTGTCCTACCTGGACAGTGCTCTCCTGGTATCAACCGGTGCCTATGAGGCCGTGACTCACTTTACACAAGATCGGTTAACATCAGTGTGCCCGTCAGTACGGAATGGCTGGTAAAATGCGTAGTACGTGTCGGGTTGTATCACTTTTGAAAACTCATGACATTCACGCCTTTCGATTGCCTCTACAAAATAACTGGTATGGAAGACTCGGGAGAAATCTCTCGTGAACCTGTAGAAGGCATTGGAATCGCTCATTTGATCTTGTGTTTTTGTTTTGCATTGAATTATTCAATATCACTTAATGACTACCGTGCAACGAGCATGTCAAAAAACTATACTGATTTAACTGTATTCAACCAACCATTGAAAAATCCAGTATTATCAGACATGAACACCAGGACCATAAACAATTGCAAACGATTATAGACGGTACTGAGTTTCGCAAATGATTCGACAAATAGACCAAATTTAGGATATTCTTTCAATAGCTTACTATATACCAAAACACTTCTGAACTAGGACCACTGCTTGCCAAGTTGGTTGACGCGCTGACAGAAGCAACCTCCTGTCAGTGGTTACCACTCTTCTGTCAACGATAGATCACATCGGCGAAAAACAGATATTCTGAATCGGTAATTTGGCGCTAGCATATGCGCACACACTTATCTGTGATCTCGGTCACATCCTTCGGATCTTGTTCTACCATCTGTGTCACAGGTTTTCGCTCACTTGTTTGCGTTGTTTACACGGGAGAAAATGGCAATTCGTGGACGCGAGCACATTTTATCCGTCATACACTTCTGTCCTCTGTACTTATTTGACCATGGGTACAAATTCATTATTCCTAATTTTAATAAATGACCCAAATCATTTGACTTTGAGGCCTGTACCTTGAGGCGAAAAACTTTCGCCATAGAATGTGCAAGAAAGATGATGGTGCCACATCCACAGGTGAATTCAACAAAGCTCTTGCAAAATGGAATGCCCCAGGTAAGCTCTATGGAGTTTGCCGAGCCTTCCGGAGAAAAGACATATGAAGATATGGACCAATCCTAGACAGATTCAATCAACATCACGCACGCAGTACTCTGTCATCACCACCTGGACATGTATAAGAGGTGGCAGCACGGTGTTGTGATTCGACACTTCATACGAGTAGTGTTTTTTGGGTGCAATCCCTAATTATTTGCGTGAGATCTTTCTAAGTCCCTTTTGGAAAAACAGCCGTCACTCGAAGGACAAACGTTTTAGCGATTTGGATTCACTTGCACTGAATAGGTGTGCTGATCAGCCACCCTTGGCCAAGCGGTTAATTGTTCAACCACTGGTCGGACGATCGCGACCTGTAAGCTCTATGAGTTTCATGAGATGCACACTGTTGATGAATCCCAACAACGATAAAACAGCTGTGCAGTGCTTCTCGGTTTTTCAACCTAACTGACAGGATGAAACCTCTACTGAATATGATCAAATCTCTTCAGGATGATTGGCTTTTCAAAAGACAAATTTGAAATAATAAGCTCTTCTGAAGAACATCGATTGACAAAGTAAAGGAAATTTTCAATGGTGCATTTGCCTTCATCGAAAAGTCATCAGCCTCTGTGCCTCTAGGCATACTGAATTAATATTCACTTTTCAGATCAAATACTGCCAGCGAGAGGATGCGCGATCAATTAAATACCGACAATTAGTCGCAGTCTTTGTGAGTCTAGGGCAGCCAGCGTAATATTACCGCATAGTTGCTGCTTGTCGATTGTCTAAACTCATTTTTATTCAGTTCAGGCGTTGTCCAATAATCCGGATTCATGAAAATTCTCAAAACATCACATGAAGCAAGTGGACCCAATTTCGGAGTTGAAACACCTTTTGATTTGCATACTCGCTCATTCAAATTGTGGTGTGTGGCAGGCGGAGAGCTCGAGTTTCGATCTGTGAGACATATAGGGAACCGATCGATTCGCTGTTGATGGCCGGAACATGCGCGAATGCAAAATGGTCGTAAATTTTGCATTTGTTCAAAAAACTCTCTAAATGCAAAGAAGTAAACGATTCAAAACTTACAAGTGGAGAACGGATAGCCCACAACAGTAAACTTCCCCAGGTATATGCAACAATCACAACCCCCTTTAAGGTGCGTGATTTGGGAAGGTAGGCTTAGGCTTTGAGTACAACTAGGATTCATCGAGGTTTCTGAGTTTGTGTAATAAGCATCTCTAATGAGCTTACGGAATGTTAGCTGCGAGGCCGAAAATGATCCATTGTCCCGCATCCTATGGACTTACATGTAGCTATTCATTTTCATATTTCCGGATAAGCAAATACTCTTTAATACTGGACGTGAGACAAAATCGATCACGACTATTCCGGACAAATCAGTGTAATATCAGAAGAAATGAAGGTCATTACAGAGTACACGGAATAATCCTTCGGCCACCAGCTTTCCCCTTTAGTTTTGTGGTGGTCACACTTTGAGAATATCTCATATTTTGTGCTACAGGTGCACATCTGCAAGTACATCTACGCACATCCTGACTACCTGAACCGAACGCTTGTTACAGATGAATTGGTTTAATGGCATCGACTGCTTCGACTGGGTCTTTTGGAATTCATTGCTTCACCTTCGTCAGTCTAATGCAGCACGCTGGTTGCGTAAATGAGAACGAGAAAAAAATTCAGCCTGGGTGTTAGAGGGGGCATCCATATGGCACTGAAACGTGTTTAGATAGTATTATGATAAGGAAAACTGTGGTTGCGTAATAGAGACACACTGACTTTCCTAATGGTGTTCAATCGCTTCACACAGTCGCTTGAAATCGTGGTTGAAATGTGTGGTAACCCCATCCCGCTCCTTCAATCCAGTGATGTTCAGTGAACCATGGGTGGGTAAGGTGAAATTCTAACGTGGTATGCTGACGTCAATGCACAAGTAGAAACTAGTATAGTGCCATTAGTATTGAAACAGTGATTACATATCTCTGGACGGTTATCGGTGTACTGATAAAAAAGTGAGAATCGGTCGACCTGTTCTTGCCAGTCGATCAGTGAATCAACGACGCGTCCTAGAACATTCGTGATTCTGTCACGATGCCTCATGCGATAAAATTTTGAAAGATTGTAAGACAGCTTGTGGGCTGGTTAGTCATTCTGGTCCCTCGGGAAATACGAAGATGGGAGTACACTTTAAAAGGTACGTTTTGTTTGAATTGAGCCCTCCAAAAGCCAATCCTACCGTTGTCAAAGTTTTATAATATCAGTTCGACGAGTTTAGTATCGGCAGAAACCACAAGGAAGTGGTTAACAATGATCTTGGCGGGACTTTATTCTGGTCCTGAACAATCCTATGCAATGTCAAAATGAAGGATTCAACCGGCGTCCTTCTTGGTAATATTTCGTTACCACGGCACACATGTGGCTGCATATTTGACAAGCAACCTGCAGGAAAGCACAAAAACATTAGTCTTTCAGATTCGGCAACTAGTGATCTCTGAGAACTGGAAGAAATTTAGGATGCACGTCAGAAGTGCAAAGTCCCCCTTTCTTGCTAAAAAGGGGGTCTCATCAAAATTGCTCGAATTCTTGCCTGTAGTCCGAAAAGAGAACTAGTCTCTTCGGGGTTACAAGAGTCGATGGTAACTTAAGCGGACTGACCAGATAGTCCTTTTGGGTGGAGCTTCTCAAGGTTGCTACCTTTAGAGTGGATACGATGCTGTTTAAGTATAGTGTGTGACCCAATACACTGACCTTGAATGAGATCGCAAAAGAACAGCTACCTTCATACGAGGTACGAAGCTGATACGGTCTGAAAAATTAAGCGGCGCTCTTTCTGTTTAGTGGAATACATAATTGCAGCACATTTATCATCTTTGCAGTAAGTTCTTGTCACAACCTATGCTGAGGATTAGTGGTTTCTGTCTTTGAATCCCCGACATCTTGAACGCTGAGATGGTTCCTGCGTGCATATTCTGCAGAAATTACCGTAAGGCTCTCAGCTTTTCGCAAGTCTGAACTCCGGACCGACCCAGAGAATGCCCGCTGTGGCGTAATGACCATGACTTCAAGATGATGCGGTATGTAAGGTTGAGCTATAACATCAAAGAATTAAAACCTCATTGAAACTATCCATAAATGCTAGAAGGTAGTGGTTACACAGTTATAACTGAGTACGCGTCAGGCACCTGTTCTAAGCGCGCCTTACGAAGGATGTTTTTCTGTTGTTCATGTTGCTTACTGAACCACCAGAAAGATTCAACCTCTTCGAAAGTTTGTTGTTCCAGTGGGTCATACTGGTAGCACATTATGCTATTTGGACCGTTTAGAGCAGACATTCTCCTATAAGTGAAAGTCACCTTTCCCACAGCTCGGCTTGAAAGTACTGTCCACTGTAACCTCTGCCGCTGGTTTACTGCAGTCATTCCAGGAGATGTTAGACTAACTAACTTGGTGGACGCTCGCGACTGTCTACTTGACAGCTCAAGTGCTTTTAAAGTTTGATAAACCCGTTTTCCGATAGAACATGACTCTTGTCACCTCTGATTTCTCTTTTTCAAAACTTTCGTCGATTGTGCTTGATCTTTTTAGCGATATTCGAAGGAATTATCATGGAAGATATAGGCTTCCGTTTTTGATGAAAGCAGATTGCCTATAGTCCATTTCATACCCCTTTTCACCTCTTTTCAAAACATGATGTTATTCAACTTATTCAGACGAAATGTTGGTTATCTCTAACACAAACCCCTCCCTAATTGCAAAACATGGAGATTTATTGCGTTTACATCAACCGCTTAATTTTTTGTTCGTAATACTGACTCGGTTTCGGGTTTTCGTTCCGCGGTTTCACGCAGTTAACCTCGACACTTCACGTGCATTCGGTACCTGTCTGAGTTTGGGCTGACTATCGCCGAGTTTGGAGAAGCACAGATGAGAGGCTGGTTAATGAGTGAAAAAATGAATGTATATTTGAGCATTTTCGTCTCATCATGAAGCTAATTTAGAGGCTAATTTGGTGAGATATTATCATTTCTATCACTACTGCCGATCGTGGGCGTAAAACATGCATGTCATATGCAATAAGTAGTACAAACTGCGTTAGACTGTTGATTATTGGTCAGTTTACACAGTAACAGAACAACATAAGAAATATGTAAGAGAATACGGGATGTGCGTAGGCACTGATGGTTTAGAGGCATTTGTTAAGTGTTGGCCAGGTAGCAGTGTCTCTGTTCGTCGAGTTTCGCAACTGACTTGCAAGCATTTTGTCACCATTGAGGCAATATCGTTATTGAGTGTGCTGACTGTCCTTCTGACAACACGCGTTTGCAGGTGTGACAACTGCTCGAATTCAGGATATCGCTTCCAACAAGTGGCTCTCATTCCCTTATTTTGCCAATCAGCGTTGAATGAAGCTGTAGCAGCTGGATTTGTGGACGGGAAAATGAACTGCCTGGATATCAAAACCTGATGATATTCCCAATCAATTTGAATGGGGTAATGATTAGCGAAGTTCACTAGCATGCGGATTGCACTGATGTTAATGAGAGGCTCAGATATATCTCTCGTTTGCTGTGTTCTTCAAATGAGTATGCTGCACAGAAATCACTTCACATTCCAGTTCGCAGGACAATAGGGATATCGCAATTTTTCATTCGCCTCTTGGGCATTTTTTCTAGCATTCTGTGAATCCTATATTGCACGCTGCTTAATAGTGTCAACATCTGACAAATAACCTACAAGAATACGGCTCAGTACCCACCTCATCAGCTCTGTGGGATGTAGTGCAAATTTATCGATCTCACTAAAAAGTTTCTTTAGGACGTAAAGGACACGTTTACTAACAGATTCTCAAATATCGAACACAGCCGCAGAATACTGCACTTTATAAAGCAAAACAAGACCCACACAATGAAAGTATTATTTCTTTTTTTTTGGGAATGTAAATTTTGCGAACTCCCGTGATTTCTTGATGAACCTCTAGCTGGTTTTCTTCCAGCTTTGGGCCTATATTCTGTCCCTAGTGAGAAAGTTCGTCAGCCACAGGAGTTCGCTTGGATGAATTTCAAAGGCCAGATGTGTGAAGCTGCATATACCATTTATGTTAAACGAGCATAGCTGTAATTAACTGAGACGCGATGGGCTATTGCAGGCCGAGCATGAGAAACGCTGAGATCCCTGAGTCTGTTGTTTTTATCATTTCCTGCGTTCTACAGAACATATTGCAGGCGAGTCATCAGTCCACTTTATTCCACAGGCCCAACCTTCGCAAGTATTAGACTCTCTACCAGCACCGTGAAATTTTTGGGGACAGCTCACAGCTGCTCTCAGGTGGTTGGGCGTGGTTTAAACTGTGTTCGACATGTCTGCGATTATGGTTAGTGGCCCTGTGGGGCTGAAGAAAGTGTAGAAAAACGTCAAGCGAATGGATGTACTAATGATCACTTTGAATCCACCCGATAAACCCCTAGTCAGGACAAAACCTGTGCTGGACTGCTTTTTAGGACTAGCCAAATCTTTCTTTTTAAGTGACACCTTCACGCTTCAGATAGATGAATTTCTAGACGCATTAAACACGTGTAGTACACTTAGAATTTACTTTGACTCACGTTCTCTATGATAGGAAACCAACTTTTGTCATTTTTGTCATGGTATACCATATATTTTTCGGGAGGGAGCAACATGGAACGGGGAGCTGGTACACACAAAAGTTAGAAAGTTAAATAAGCTCCAATGATTATTTAGGTCGTTCTAGGGTGTAGACACACTGTCAGGCAGAAATAAAGTTTCTGCCACTCGGCCATCGTGCATGCAGATGTGTGGAACCCGGTCTTTTATTCCACATAAAATCTGGCAAACTGATACTTGCCCGCAGTTAGGTTTGTAGCTCAAGACTGTACTGAGCGAACGAAGTATGATTACTCTTGGTAACTTGCTGTTTACGCAAGATGTGTTTAGTCGATCCGAGTCGCTCATCGGCTATGAGGGTCGGACTGGAAGGCAAAGGGCTAGTGTAGAGTGGTAGATTAAAAATACCTTAAAAATCGTGTAGTCATGAATCAGGATAATTCACCATCCATCAGGTTACGTCATCTCCATCAAACATCATTAACTAGTGAACTGCTCTTATATTTAGCGTTATCTTCAGAAAAAACACTAAAAACGATTCTCTGCTGTTCTGTTCAAATATATACATTCCTACTCCGATTGGTAGCCATCTTGATTAGTTTCTGGGCTAAGCTCCCATTCCAGAATCTCATGTTCCAAACCTCCATGACAGAATTCAGCAAGGAGCGGCTTTTCATTTGATACCCTCCTTTATAGTCTCCTGGTTTTGGTTTGCTTCCACTCTTTTGGAGACCACGCAAATTGACTGAAAGCTAAAGTCTGCCTCGAATATTGGCCATGGACAAAAAGGTTCCCAATAGAAATCGCTCTTGCACGATCAACTTAAGGTGATCTTTAAAACTATCTAAAATGCGTTACATATCATTCGATCAATGACCAAAATCTCAGTAATTTTAGGTATGGTGGGCTGACGAAACATTCATAGTTGACTGTGGTTCTATCCTCATTCCGGAGGCAGCTTCAGTCAGCTGGGTTCCTCTCAGACTCCTCAACGTCTGAACGTAGTGTGAATGAAGTCGACATCACAAAACTTAGGTGAATACATAGTCAATCATGCTTCTCCTCAACTTAAGTATTTGTAGCAACCCTCCGCTCGTTTGAATAACTGTCTGAATTGAGTAGACTAACAAATGGAAACTATAAGACTCGAAAAGTAGAATGAGAGTGGAAGCGAGGGTGCTGACGGGTGGGGTGGGTACGAGTGATGGCGAAGAGCAGAGCTACCTAGGGTGGGTTGACTAATTTATAAGTGCAAGCCCCTCAACGACGGCTGCATTCTACCCTATCAATAAGTACCCACCGTCTACGAAATTTGTCAACTACTGTCTAACCGCGAAGACAAAATTTGCTAGGTTGTCCAGTTAAAGCACCCGTAACTCGTTACCCTATCAAGGGCCGAACGAATCATCTATGATCAACTGTGTGTCTTCCCTTTAGAGCCAAAATCGACGAGAAGCTGGATAGAAAAGAGTGGCTTTGCTAATCCCGTAGCATGAGGACAAAAGCAAAACAATTTTCCCAGAGTAGATGAACTTGTCAACAGTCGTAAGCAGATCATCCGTTTTGTGGACGGTCGGGTATTCCAGAGCCAGTCTAGTCGGAAAACTGTGAATAACAAAAGTTCATATTGCCTCCAGTCAAATGTAATTTTATTTTCAAAGGGTGAGGAAGGTGAAGAAGAACGATTTCATCACTGTATTCATTATTCGTAGGCCAACTGAAAGAAGGTCTTCCCACGTATGGCCGTTCCCATCTGATAATAAAATCCAGAAGCTAAAAATTGGTAACTTTATCAAGCGTCGTTGGTGGTCCCACCTTTACTGGACGAACGGTACAACACACTGCCATCGACAAACACCTTCCATGGACCGAATGCGAACGTAATGCACCGAGTGCGCACAATCTCTGTCCCACGACAGATTCTGAACTTATTCACTACCAGTGTTTCTGTGGCGCATACAACAAGCAATCCAGCTTGTTCGGCATACAAATAACCATGGATTGCACTTACCTTTGCTAACATTGAAAACTTTCGCCTATTAATCTCTGTAAAAGAGCCACCATACACCCTGGATAATCTAGACCGACTGGCGTGTGCAACAGATCATTTTTGGGTGTCAGTATTGATCTTAAGATTTGGAAACCGGAGTTGACTAGAACTCATGGTTTTTGGGAAATAAAAGTTTTACCTTGTCCTCAAATTTCCGTCGATGGTACGGCTAGAGTCATGCGGATTTTGTGACAGCTAGACACTCGTGAAGATTGAGTATGATAATGAAGAAATGCCTCACTGTCGCCTGTTTTGTCTGCCCTGACAAAGGAATAAAGTAGCACACATCCGTTTTGTGATTATGCTATCTAACCCCAACGAGTCAACCAAGTGGCTGAAGGTGAATCCCAGTTTTTTGGAAGCTTATTAGAAACCCAGATTCACTGCATGGATAAGAGGAAGTTGATTCAATCTTGG